GAGTGGCCCGAACGAAAACCGAAATGCTTCTCCCTGAGTTTGATTAAGGGTTGAATTCGGTCAAAGATAATGCGCTCGTAAATTTTGGCGATATGGTCAAGAAGGGTGATCGGTATGTAACTTGAGGGGAGGAGGGAAATTGTCTCGCCCGGACGGCCGAGTTGATTATTATCGTCCAAGCCACCATGAAACTTCTGGGCAGCTTGATGTAGGCAGCAGGAGGGAGGCCATCGGGGCCAGGAGCCTTTTTTTTTAATCCTCACAAATAGTCCTTCAATTTTTCCCATAGGGAGGCAAAAGTAGAACCTGGAAGTGGGGCGAAAGGTCTTTCTAAAATTTCTCGATGTCCTAGAGAATTGGTTCAAATGGGTTGATAGTAATCTTGCTTTATCTTCGGCCGCGTAGCGGTACTGTCTCTTGTACGAGATCGGACTTTAATATAGGGCAGTGGGTTCGGGTCCAAAGACGGTGAAGCGCTTTTTTCTTTGTATGCACCTCGGTCGGAGGGTTGAGGGAATTGGCCTTCTCTTTTGTTTCTTGCATTTGAGATCTCATTTGGGGTCTTAGGTGTGGGTGGCAGTGGGTAGTTCCTCATGATTTCAGATCTAGGAGCGATGGGAAGTTCGGAATTAGGAAATGAATAGGTAGGTGTTGAGTATCCATGCCGTGGAGTGCCTCAATAGATATGCGAAATGGGACATCTTTGTAAATGGCTATTGCCAGGACGCCACTGGAGTGAGCATCGTTTGTAGGGATGTGGGTGACATCAGGTGGACAATAACTTCTAAGGAGTCGGATGAGGCTATGTCGAGCAGCTTGCGGCCAGCCGTATTGGTAATCTTGGAACCCCAGACTGAATACTTGGCGTTCAAATCACCCGCCAGGTTGGTTGGGCCGTCGGTAGGTTATATCGGTTGCGGTCACTTGGGGGTTGGAGGGCGATAGGCTGCGTATATTTTGATTTCCTAGCTGTTCGCTCTCACTCTCACTCCGAGGGTCCTGGCGCTAACGAAGTCTATCCAGGCGAGTTTATGGTGAATAATATCTCTCTTGACTAGGACTACAGTGCCTCGGAGGGGACGTCCCTCTGGAATTAGTTCGTCTCTTCTGTAGGTGGTGAAGTTTGGAATCTTGAAGTTGTGGTTGGGGGCCAGCATAGCTTCGCCCAACAGAATTTCGTGGGCGTTTTGGGTTTAGGCTAAGAGTCTTAGATCTTTTACTTTTTGGAGGGTACTGCCTGGATTCCAGTAAATTAATTTAAGGTCTCTCAGGCGGCAGGGGTCACCAGTCTGTTCAGCGCGTTCATTGCTGCTTGGATGGGGGAACTGTTGTGCCCATGTCCGCTATCATAGTTATTATAATTCCGATTATTGGGGGGACCAGTAGCTCCCGAAGGGGATGGCCGGAGGAGGCAGGGGTGGAGTCGGAAGCCACTGCAGATTAGAGTGGCTAGACACGGATCGGCGATAGGTTTGCTATCGCTGGTGCCGAGGTCAAGTGATCTCTGGAAGCGTGGCGGGAAGGGTTGTCGCAACTAGTATCGACGGGGAAATTCTTTGAGACAGTTGGGGGGTGGTGGGGAGACATCTGAGAGCGGACTGTTAGAGCAAGGAGTTTTTACTCGTCTATAAAATAATCCATTTTTTGACACAATGTTTTTGTGATAAGCTGTCCATGCCTGTTTTTGCTTTACTTCTATTTTGGTGTTCTTGCAAAATATTAAAAAAAAAATTAAAATCTTTATTTAATCGTGTTTGCATATGCATAGTATCCACTTCAAATCTAATTGAAACATTGGAGGTTCAGAATTGGGATTCACCAATACGGACAATGTGTCGTATGGGTAGTTATTGGTGCGAAGGGGGTGCGATGATATCTCCCCCTAGGGAAAACCCAGATGAGGGGGAATTTGAGGGGATTTGATGGGTGGATCGATGTCGTTGTTACAGGAGGCTGGGGTGGGACTGTTTGTTAGGCTCGAGAAGCCGGGGGAGGATGGTTGGGGGAGGGGCGAGAACCGGGTGCGGTGGGCACTGGTGAAGGCACTCGGGTGCTCAAGCGAGGAACTTCCTTGAGAAAGGTTTTGTACCTCCCGCTGTTCGCCGGGTGTTCTTGTCCACAGTTAGCACATGTGGGGGGTTTAGTTCGATTGCAGGTACAGTTAGTTGGTGGTCGGTGGCACTTGGCAGAATTGTGTCTGAAAGCTTGGCAGCGATGACCTTTTCTCGGTCTCCATGCGTCTATTATGACAACTGGAATGTTCAGGAGAGTGTCGATGGCGTAGAGGCGCTGCAGCTCTGGCTGGCCCATGTTGATCATATGTCCATTGGACGTAGAACAGGCAGCTGGGTCTGTCACGCCTTCCCTGGATCGCCCTGGCTAGAATGGGAGCAAAGCTTTTTTCCTCTAGGCATTCCAGGATGGTTTGAGGGGCGATATCGGCTGGGATGCCCCTGATTGCTACCAAGTTAAGGAAGGAGTATCTTTTTCTACTTGAAGGAGGTAGGACTGGATTATCCTATATTCCTTCAGGGATTTGTGTAGGAATCGTATTCCCTTGCCGTATGATCTTGCATTTGGTGGATATCCAAGCGAGTTCTAAAAGGTGTTGAAGTGATCCACCCAGCTTGGTAGTATGGCGACTTATGGCAACTTAGTCTAATGGTGGAGGTGGGTGGCGCAATGAAAAAACTGGTGGAACTCCTTAGTCTTGATTTATTTCTGATAAGAATTACATTTAATCACTTACAATAATTATACTACGATACTCACCCTAAGCTGGTCTCGTTACAGTAGTGTCTCGGCCACTATTGGAGGGTAGCCTTTCATAATCTTCTTCTGGAGTGTAGATCAGGCTCGCTTTCGGTGTTAGCTTCCCTGTCAGAGTCCGAAGGCGATTGAGAGTCTGAATTTGTGTCGGACCTATTTTTGCTGGGTCCGGGAGTAGGTTGGGGTGAGGGGGTTTCGAAGGGACCTTGACGAAGTCTTTTTCGTCACCTACAGTTATGGAATCCGAGTAATCTGAATCCAGAGCTCGGGTTCGGTAGCGTCGTAAGTCTCGAAGGTGGTAAGGTTTGGGGGGATGGGGGAGACTCGTTTGTCAAAAACTTCGTCCCCATTTCCCCTTCAGCTGTCGCTTGTTTTTGAGGAATAGGCAGTCGTATATTTGGTTGCCTAGGTACCGGTACGGTCCGGTAAATAAATGTGGGTATCCACTGAACAACATATAAGATTAAACTAACACAGATAGGCGACGCGACACGGTTGAGTGGCTGGGCAACTTCGGTACATAGCCCCACCTGGCTAAGTACATACTTCAGGATCTTTTTAAATCTATGCCACTTTTAATAACCCACGACACGCTATGTCACACGATCCCTTGTCCCGTGTTTCAGTCCCTTTCTTTTTCCTCTCGGTGATATTCAACCTCACCAAATAAGCGCATTATTCCAAAACTTCCATATCTTTAATACGTATATTGCCCATAACTAGATGTTACCAGTAGGGGTACTAAGTACTAGGTAATGAAATCAATAATGTTATGCAGTTAATGTATTTTATAGAAAGCAAGTAAAAAATTAATGCCGCGTTAAGTTGATTTACTCAAGACATCATCCAAACTAAGATCCAATATTAACCCAAGATTTGGATGGTGGCTTAGTTTCTTCGCCTGTCCCATCAACGAAACTGCTACTACTAGAATCCAACAATATTTTCCAACCATATTACCTAAATGTTAAATGCAATGTTGCCAACTTAGCTACTTTGTGACTAGATTTAGCAATTATCTTGATGTTAGGCAGATACAATTTTTATTAATTTTGTAGATAAACTTTTTAACAACTTATGGTTCAAACCTGTCTACGTGGAATTTTTTCTCCATATATTGTTTCTTTATTAAACCTTTGACTTTTGGTGAGTCACCCAGAGCGGTGAAAAAAAAAGGCGCCAGAGAGTCCCCGAAAAATAGACTTGTAGCAATGAACATCTACAAGAGTGAGTGAGATAACGTAACATATGTGACTTGCTTACTGGTATGAAATCCGAGCGCGAGCGGAATCATTATGGGGATTCCCTCGATTGTCTGACTATGGCCTGTTGGGATTCCCTTTTTACTACTTTCATAGATAGGTGTTTGTTTTATTTCATCGGATCGGAATGGGAAAATATGGATCAGTTCAAACGTTGGTTAAATCCAGCAAGTAGAGACAGTAAGGAAAAGTGGCCAATACACTGTTACAACTACATTCTTCCTAAGTCCGTATTTGACTAAATGGGTCTTGTAGAAAAATATTCAAAATTAATTAGAGCTAATTAAGCTGCATTAGGCCTTTACCCTTACTAGGGATTCTCAATAATAAAAATATCAATGAATAATGATCAAAATTGGATAGTGAATAATTATGAAATTCAAGCAAATTTAATTTAATGATATACATAACTTTATTTTTAAATATTATTATAAATGACATATTAATAATGTATTTGTATTGAATAATGAAATAAATTTAAAATCCTATTTATTTAATCCTATGAAACTGAAATTTGTATGAGAATCAATAAAAGGCTTTTTTATTATTTATTTATTTAAGCTGCATTAGATTTATTATTACTTTCCCAGAGTTCACAACCTTCTACATTTTCCTCTAGTATTTAATTGAGTGTTGTTTCTTTTTTAAATAAAATAAATAGTCAATTGAGTAGTTATATCATATAAATATAGTATTAAGTATGTACATAATATTATAGAAATAATATAAATAAGATGATTGTTGTTTTATTTTGTTATTTGCATTTTAAATACAATAAATATTAAAGTCTTTAATAAAATATCGCCGTGTAATTTCTAGAAATCATTTAAAACGGTATTTAATTTCACGGAAAATTTAGCTATTTCTAGCTACTTTTCAAGTCGAACGAATTACTCAATCTAGCAACTTATATAAAATTTCCAGTAACAGGCATTGAGTAGCAGTTGGCAACACTGGTTAAATGTCAATATTACAAGTTTTATTTTTATCTATGTAGTTTGTATTTTTGGCAATTTTTGGTAAATGATACCAAAAAGTTCAAAAAGTACATTGCAATTATATAATAAAATAAATGCACCTTAATTAATTATTTGGTATCCACTTTTTAAATTGTATTTTATATTATTTCCATATCAATCAGTTGTAAAAAACAACTACCTAATTAAAGCGTTCGGTTAACCTAAATTTACTTGGCTGTTAATTTAGGCATTATGTCTAGTTATAAATCTACCTATTTAATTATCGGTGGTGGAATAGCTGGCGTTACATGTGTTGAAACATTAGCCATATTACATCCGGAAGAAAGTCTAGTACTAATTACAGCTTCATCATTAGTGAAAAATGTAAGTAATGTAAGTTTTTTTGCAAAGACTATTGTTAAATTCGACGTCAACGAAACAGAAGCTAGTTCTTTACAGAAGATACATCCAAACTTACAAATAATCTATGACTCACTTAATTATATTGATTCAAAGAATAAATTTGCTACAACTGATGGTGGAGTGAGAGTGGAATATGAAATGATGTGCCTTTGCACTGGTGGAATACCAAGACTCATATCAGAAGCTAATAAATCTAAGAGAATATTAGGTATAAGAGACACTGAATCTGTGCAAGAATTTCAGAAAAGGTTAAAAGATGGCCGTAAAATGGTTATTGTTGGCAATGGAGGTATTGCATCAGAAATAGTACATGCCACAAGAGGAATTCAAAAGGTATGGGTAATAAGAGATGATTACATATCTGCTACATTTATAGACCCTGGTGCTGCCCAATTTTTCCAAGATACATTCAATAGAAAATTAGAAGACAATGCTGCTAAAAATACAATTGTTCGTCGTCATATATTTACTGAAGAAGATACTTTAGTTTCATTAAATAAAGACTTAAAGTCTGCTGCATTAGGCCCCGATTGGTATAGGAAGTTAGAAGACCTACGAAATGATCATGGTGAACAAGAACTGGAAATAATATACAAAGCTGAAGTTAAATCAGTTTCTGACATAGAATCAGAATTCCCTTTGAGAATAGAACTAAGTAATGGCAGAATTATTGATTGTGATTTTATAGTGTCGGCTACAGGTGTAGAGCCTGCTTTGAATTATAAATTTGATGAGGAACCAATCAAAGGTTTAGATGGAGGATTATCTGTGAATGAGTTTCAGGAAATATCTATTAAAGATATTTTTGCTGCTGGAGATGTAGCACATGCAGCTTGGACTCATGCTCCTCACTGGTTCCAACTACGACTCTGGACACAAGCAAGACAGATGGCTGCAATGGCAGCTAAATCAATGCATGCTAGAAAAATAAATGAAGAAGTTTTACAAGACTTTTGTTTTGAGCTATTCACACATTGCACCTCTTTATTTGGATATAGAGTGGTGCTATTAGGAAAGTATAATGGACAAAACTTAGGTAATGATTATGAAATTTTATTGAGAACAACACCCCGCCATGAATATATTAAATTTGTCTTACAAAATGGAAAATTGCAGGGTGCTATTTTAATAGGTGAAACTGATCTTGAAGAGATGTGTGAAAACTTGATACTAGATCAAATTGATTTGACCCCCTTTGGTGATGAAATATTGAATCCTGACATAGATATTGATGACTATTTCGATTAGTTACTAGGTATGCAATAAGAGGTGTGGGGAACGAAGAATCTACTGAACGAAGTATAATGAGCAAATAAAGATGTGATTTTTATGTTAAATGCTGCCAGTTTATCTTATTTAAATTAAAAGAATTTCACACTAATACTTTAAAAAACAGTGCATAGTAAAAGGCATCTTATTCACAGACTTTCAAGTTACTATTTTTAAGTTATTTCATTAAAGACTTCATGAATAATATGGTGAACACTTAAATAAAATGTTGTAAATTGATCAACAATGCACAGAACATTGGTGAACATACATAAATTATATACACAGCCGTTGATCATAAAAACTCCTCCCTTTTTGATTTGATGTATTGATGATAAAGAAAATTGTTGATCCATTTGAATTTATGTGTATAGGAACATACTCATATCAGATCTACCAAAAATATTGTTTCTTTCAGAGAAAAAAATAGTTGATATGTTTCATTTGGTCCGAGTGGATAGATACGGATTGTGAATTTTTACCCATTTTACGTGAATGCTAGCGGATTACTCTTTAACTTTGATCTTCTCTGCATTCGTTTCTTCCTAGTCATACATACATTACAACAATTCTATCCTCCAATACGTTTTTTATTCCTTCTGATTGACTGAAAAACTGATTAAAATTATCACAGAATATATCTTATAAAGGACTAGGTGTGGGAGATCCCTTTGCCTTCATGAATATGGTTTTTTTTTCGGTTTGTAATGACGCATACCTGTCACAGAAATCTTAACATAGGGATGCAAACAAAAAAATCGATATTTTTAATCGATATTAATTGATTATATGTAATTTTAAATCTTTATATTTTTAATTTTTCAGGATGGCGACTCTAGCAAAAGTTGATTTTTGCAGGAAACTAATGGGCCACTGATAGTCATTTCCGTTCCTTTTAACTAACATATTAAAAAACTTAAATTTGCAAAGTTCGCAACTTAGATATCAATACAAATACGAAAGAGTACAAATAGAATATGAGACGTATATTGAGTTTTGAAAATTTTATATAAGTAAGAAAACCGGAAGGGTTGTCATGGAAAAATCAAGAAAGTACCGTAGCGACATCTAGCTTGTTTTCGCGAACTAATATTTTATTTTAAATACTTCCTCGTTTACTTCTGTTATCTGGTATTGCTGAATCCACTCCCAGTGCAATCCAAAAAAATATGAAGTCACACTGATTAATATTATAAATAAAAGTAGGTATTTATAATATTAATCAACTTTGTACTCACAATGCTCTATTAACAAACGTTATTAAAATGGATATGTCGCTCCCAAGAGGTATAATCGGGCGGCTAGCTCTTTAATTGAATGGCGCCAATCAATAAACGGGCTTACTTACTATCAATCAGCCGAGTAGGTGAATGCAAGGTTCTACAATACGGCTGAGCAAAGGTCAGCCGATTACATTTCGAGGTTTTTTTAACAGATGACAAAAGTAAATGAACGTTTTATCGGCTTTTAAATCAGCCGTCTTGTTGGTTGGTCAAAAATCGTAATAATTCAACTAGAAAACTTTCAATTAAATGGCTAGCCACCCTATTTAACGATTATCTTAACCAGTTGGCTGCGGCTGCGACATATATATCAGATGCGGAATTTTAAACATTTTTCATAATCATAAAAATAATAGTTAAAACATTTTTGTAGAACAAAATGATAACAATTTGTGAATGAAATACTATATATTTACGTTTAACACGTAAATTAACATGTAAATTATTGGAAATTACACTATGTGGTTCATTTTGGCTTAGCGTAATTAGTGGTGAGGTTTTATAACCTACTGTAAAAAATCGGGTTTCATGTTGAAATACTATTTTATTATTAAATTACAATGACAAATATAAAATTTATCTATATAAAAGGTATACATTGTTTATTACTTTTGAATTTCTATATTATAATAAACACAGGCCTAATTGTCTCATTTAATATTTTATCACAATCCCTCTCAACGGTATACCGACTGTGATAGCGATTTATGGAATTATATAATGTTTATAGTTTCAATCGCTATCGGAAATATTTGCTTCTACAGCTAATCTCAAAAAATATAAAATATTTAAGTAAAATCTTTTACAACCTTATTATTAAAATATCGATATTTTTAAATTAATCGATATTTAGATATCGAGATTATATTTTCCGAGCCTATTTAAAACGAAAAAGTCATTTTTTTGTTCGAAAGTGAATCGTACGCTTGACTTTGTCGTTAAACATAATTTATCACATTTTTAAAGTTTTACACGAATACCTGCTTGTTAATACTTGAACGAAAATTCACAAGTCTTTTTTACTAATACATTAATACTAAATACGTATCGTGTTCTATCAAGTTTTTGCTGACATCGGATACCCATTTGATTCTTTGTTGTTAAATCGCAGTTCCTCATAAATCAAAGATGCCTATATTATTTAGTGTTGTTGCTCGTGGTACAGTTGTTTTGGCGAAGTATGCTACTTGTGCTGGAAACTTCACAGAGGTTACAGAACAAATACTGTCGAAAATACCACCACATGATGATAAGCTGACATACTCGCATGGAAACTATTTGTTTCATTATATAGCGGAAAGTAAATTGATTTACTTCTGCATCACCGATGATGTAAGTATGAGTCTAATATTGCTTATTCACAAATTCAAAGAAAATAATAACTATAAAAAAATCCAATTAATTTTCAGAAATTCCAACGATCTAGAGCCTTTCTGTTTTTAAATGAAATTAAAAGAAGATTTATAGCAGTATTTGGGGATACTGCACAAACAGCTATTCCTTATGCCATGAACAGTGAATTTGCCCGTGTTCTTGCTACAGAAATGAAGCATTACAGTGAATCACGGGATCTTGACACTATATCCAGGGTTCATGGGGAGTTAGATGAGCTCAAAAATATCATGATTAAAAACGTCGGTGAGTTGTTATATTAATTTCATTTAATTCTGTAGTTTTTTTACTCAGGAAAAAATTATTGAACTGATTTGTTGTCCATTAATTCAATTCAGTTCTGGATTTGATAAGAATGTCAATACATATTTATCTGGTCCCTTATCTTTGACTATTTGAATGGTAATGATTCATAAATTATTTACTCCTGTGTTATGTTGTCAATCAGTCAACATAACTAATGGAAATTATGTTTGTGATATTACATTGTTATCTTTATCACAGTAGGTATAAAGAAAAAATAGCTGATGTTTATGGTCAAATGAATATTTACATTTTTGAACTTTTGCATTATCATAAAGGTGTTTGTAATACTTAGAATTTATTTTGGGGGTGGGGCAAAAGTAAAGAAACTCTATAAATAATATGAATTTCAAAATTACCTGTAATAAGAATTCTCGCTAGTCCTAGTTAAAATTTCAGTTTTTTTATTTTTATTGAATTACAATAAACACCTAATATTTGAGGCTTTAAACACCCCACTGTGAGGTGATTTCTGAAATTTGTGTTGAAAGATAAATGCATCCTTGTGGAAATCATGATAATTGTCAGATTTCATTAAGAATGGCCACAGAAAACAACATAAATATTAAATTATCTGTGAGAAAATTTGTTTCTCTTTATGCCTATATTTAGTTATTTATGGTTCACCTATCAATTGATAAAAAGAAGAAACAACAGAAAAAGCAGTTGATAGAATAGTAGTTTTCATATGTTTTAAATTGAATTTCCTATTTTAACATGTGCTAGTTAAGTGCAACTGTGTTTATGACTACAAACTATTATAGATTGCCCATTATCATTTTTATTTTCAGACAGCATATCAGCGCGTGGTGAAAAATTAGAATTGATAATGAACAAAGCTGAAAACTTAGCCACTACAGTAAGTATATGCAATTATATTTTCAGTTTTTAATAACAGGGAGATTGGGTTACAGCAATTTTAGTGGAGTTAGTTTTAAAAGTCCATTAGAAGTATGGTCAGTTTTATTTAATCTGGTGTGGTGTTGACCATATATAATTAATTTAAATTTTGTGTCATCATTGAAAGTGTGATTTTTTTTATATTCGTAATAATCTGACTTCTGGTTTGATTAGTTAACGTGATTAATTTTGTTTTTAAGCTTACAATTTTGTTTATTTATGTTTTTGCATCTATATTTACCTTACAGGAAAATGTTTAAAAGTATTTGATAGTTAGAGATGGGCATCTGAAACAATTTTTTAAAGTACAGTACAGTAGTTTAATATCAATTTATAATTTGTTTATATCTTAAAAAATGTAGAACTTTCATTTCAGATAAGTAAAATCTTGTTACACTTGTTGATCTGAAATTACATATTTAGAAATGTTATTTTTGTTTTTGGTATGATAGGGATTCATATGGGTATATGTGACAAGGCCGGTTTGCAGACATTACTTGTATTGATAAATTATTTACATAGGCAGCTAAATATAATCATTTTGTGTGTTGTTTCAGTCGGTCACATTCAGATCAACATCGAGAACACTACAGCGCTCCTTGTTTTGGAAAAATATTAAAATGTATGTAATCTTGGCAGTAGCTGCTGGAGTTGCTGTTTATCTGATTGGAGCTATGGCCTGTGGCGGTCTTGCGTGGAAATCATGTGTAGGTTAATTTTTTTTTATACTTTCGCATCTCAGAACTTTGTAACACTACCCTCTATTAATATTGTTCAAGTATTTAGCAAAGTTGATACGTAAAAGTAGGTGTAATTGACCTTCACCATTTGGCCCTTGAGAATCAAGTTTAATCATTGTTCAAAGACAAATGTTTTAGTTGTCTCCATTATTGTTGTTGTTTTAAGGAGGTTCATCATTCATCAACACGAAAGCTGATAAAATTTACTAGAATTTAGATTATAAATAGAAAATCTTTTTATTTTGCAATACCTTAATATTGTAGTATTGTGACCCTACATTATGGCTTAATATATTTATGCCTGCTTTTACTATAAATACTTTAAGAGCTAGTTTAATCATAGTGTCTCCTGGAGCTAATGAGTCTTTTCTGTTATGAGTTTGTGAAATGGAAATATAATTTAGCTAGGTATATTTTCTGTTATGTTTCGAATTTTGGAGTGAGATTACATAACATTTGTTCTAATACTTAAATTTCCTAGTACTTTTTAATCCATTCCTTTTGATGCAACATATATCTAACTGTTCTATGTGGAATTGTTCAATATTGGTGAAAACTGGTTGTCAGCTATTTTCTTAATAAATTATTATTGTTCTAAATGCCTATTAGTCTGAGCATTATATTATTTTATTTAATTAAAGTGATTAGATATTAGGCTTATTATAAATTGAAGACTTAATATAGTACTTGGTTTAAATCATTGGCCATCCAGAGCAAATTGACAGTGACAGAAGAAGAAACTTCAAATTGAGATGTGACTTATTTTGGTCAGATATAGGTCTAAAGTTAGTTTTAGTTTTATAATAAAACAGTCAAAGACCATGTTTTGTTGGAGTCTCCACTTAGCTCCAGTTGTAAAGTTTGTTCCATTTATATAATTATCCACCATATACCATATGAAATTTAGTTTTCGGAGAAACTGGGGTGATGGCCATTATTTTTATGTAATACTAATCATTGGAAGACATGTTACATTGGAAATAAATCATTATTTTTTGAAGAAAGGACATCAACCTAATATAGTCTCTAAACACATAGCACCTAATTTCTTATTGCATTTTCGATTTTATAGTATATTGTAGATGTAATCTGGTTTATTATTTAAATGGCTGACAATGATATTTAGTGATATAGATGATGTGTTATTAAGATTATACATTTTATTTGTAATTTTAGAGCACCAAATATAGAAATGTTATTTCAGTTATTTAGCACTGTATTATTATAATTCATATGATAATGGTAATTTTAAACATTTGGTGATTTTGTGTGTTAGGTGTGTGTTTATAATTTTAACTGAAAGTTTTTAAGTTGTTTATTTGTAGAAAAAATTGACAAATAACTGAAATGAAACTCAACTTATTTTTCGCAAATGCTACATTTATTTATTTATTAGTTTTTGACTCTTTAATGCTGAAACCTTTCACTACTGCAGTTGGCCACACTCATCGTTAAACAAAAACCTTAACATTAATTCCGTATTATGGAATAACCCCTTCGTACTTCTACCCGAAATTGAGTGCTCAAACTTGACATCGGAATTAAAAAATTGCGCCAAATAGCACTCTGCCATAAAGTTTTCTTCTAATTCATTGACATATAATTGTTGCGGTTCCTTTAATTTGTTTCTGATAAATTCATTGCCGTCTATTTCAGTAAATTTCCACAAAAAATAACTTTGGAATTTTGGAAATAAATAATTTGTCGGTTTTTTAAGCAAGATTTTAGCGCCCCCCTGTTCATTGCGTCTTAGGCTGCTGCCTTATTAGCCTAAGGCTTAATCAGGCCCTGGTCGTCATTGTCGCTTCATTGTTTGAGCTTAGGTTTACACAAAATTTCATTTTTTAATTTTAAATACCAACGTGTCGGTAATGTTTTGTGTAATTTGCAACACTAATACAATTGTTGATTGGTATTTCTCTACGAATTACTAAAAATATGAAGGTCAATTAAGCTAAATTAAAAACGAGTTTATAACATCAAATAGTTTATTAATTTTAATAGAGTATAAAATTCTTTCTTTAACGTTTCTAGGAGATTTTTTTTTTTATACTGAAAAACTTAACAGAGTAATATTAATGCATTTTTTGTCCAATAACTTCCACAATAAAATCAACAAATTAGCTTTTCTTTATCACGAGTAGCATGACGAACTCGAGAGACTCGAGAAACGCTCGAGCGACTCGAGTTCGTCATGTTAGACAGGTGTTTGTGCCAATTCTAGTGCGAGTTTCTTTTGCTACTTGCCCATATTTGACGATTTTTACTTACACCTAAAATAAAATAAGTAATTTACTTTATGTGGTAGAAATAAAAATAGTTAGTCATCTTTTTCTTTGAATTATCGGTTGATCACTATATTGAAAACCAACCATATTTACATGTAGCGACCTCGAATAACATTTTAAGACGACAGTGGCAATAGTTCTTATTTTCAACGTTTCACAGATAAGATTTAGAAGCTGTTTTATTTTATCATTTGACAGCAAAAAGGTTTTATTCACCTAATTAGGCGACCCTAATTAGGCGACCAATATACAACCGGTATGTTTAAAAACAGATATCGTTAACATTAATTATGGATACAGTTCGTATTGACACAATTGTTTTGAGTACTTAAACATTACAGAGTTTTGTGCCAGTCTTTGTTTTTATTATAACTCAAAATTTAACAAAGAATATTTTGGCTTTTATTTATTTTTAAATTCAGTTTTTAGTGAAATATTATATCTATAAAACCTGAGATTTCCAAACATCAAGTTCTAAGGCGATGAATTTTCTTGTATTAGTAATTGATATATATTGATGTAAAAACATGGCAATATTAATTTTAAATACATATTTTGATATATAGGTTATAATTATTGTAACGAATATTTATAATCGTCAATATCAAACCGCTTTAAGTTTGGCAATATTTGAATATGTATTATTTTTGTAATTATTACAATAGTTTATAATGATTAAGATTAGGTTACCGAGAAAACGTTAATAGATTTTTTGTTAAAATAGAAATTGGGATGATGATCATAAAAACATTTGACAAAATTGAAAATTAAAATGGGTTATGGATTATAGATTTATTATATTTTTGGGTTAACCCACATCTATGGCATGTTGAGCATGGAACAATGGCGTAGTTAGGCGTGGGCGAAGAGGCCTCATGGCCTCGCACTAAAAGACCGATACCTATAGATTGACGAAATACAATTAAGAGAATGTATATAACATAATCATGGTAGACTACACTTACATTGATTTCCTTAACTCCGAATTGAATCACAACGAATCAACGTACAATACTGATATAAGAATACTGTATTGAACTTTATCGGAATATTGAACGTACACACAGTATTCTAACAATGCAGCTTTTATCTTTTCACAAGCATATTGATTCAATCCAATGTCAAGGAAACCGATGCAAATGTAATGACGTTATCTCGTCCGCATATATTAAAAAAAAGGCGTCGCTGAAGCGCCATCGACCACCTAGATTACTCTGTCTACAGCAAAAGAGATAGCTGAGTTAGTGTGCGATATCACGCCGCGAAATCCTCGAAGCGATAGACAACACGCTATCTTTTTCGCTCTAGCAAATGACGGTTCTAAGCAATAGAAAGAGATATGGCGTCGGAAGAAACCGATAACGTGCTGCCCATATGTAGTTCAACCCTTGTATGAAATGTTACGTGTTATCGCATTTTTCGTGTCCAATCGGTAGCGTTTAACCTCAATTTTGATCATCGTCGAAAGCCTGCTATTTATTGTTTATGGTAGCACGGCTCAGCATGCCTAGCGTGACGAATTCGAGATGCGATCGTAAACGAGTCATTCAAAAATTAAGCTATAGGAACTACTAAACATTTCCTAGGCAAATAACAAATCTAAGCGATGTAGAATGTGTAAGAATAGGACATGAAAAATGCGATGCCGTGTCAATAGATGTGGGTAGATCCATAGTGTATAACATAATAGATTGTTTGCATTAATTGTGTTGACTCCGTTAAAAAGAAATATTCATAAAAGTAAAGACTAGAAGGTATTGTGATATTGATTATTATGTATAAATATAGTAAGTATAGTCTTACAGTGTCATTGATAAACAAGGTTTAGCGTTTGAGTAAATTTATGCTGAGACTGCACTTCGTATTAGTCAAAATTCATAATATTAAACAGAGACTTAGTAAAGGTTAACCTAGTACGAAGTTCTACGGGAGTTATATTTACTCCTGGAAAGTAGTAGGTTTGCTTATTCTCTGTATTATATGAATTTGGACTAATACTTAAATTGCAATTTTAGCGTAATTTACTCTGACGCTAAAACTTGTTTATTAATGGCACTGTTATTGTTTAACGATATGGAATATGTTATTAACTTGTATAAAAACAAAAATGATATTGTAACCTTTGTTTTATTTTTTCTCGTTCTATCTTTATTTTATTATTTGGTGTATTTCATTTGTTGGGATCATGTTTGATAGATACAATCTATGGTCTATGTGATAAAAATAATGTTTATTTATAAAAAACGGCTGGATTACTAAACATTTTTGCTGATACCCAATGACTGAATAACTAGTTCCTTATTTTTTTTGCATACATGTCACTAATAATGCCGCTGAAAAGAATTAGCCTTTCTAAACTTCGATATAGCACCAACAACGAAAAAAAAAAATCAAAATAGCAAACACATTTGTAGAAGAATCTATAATATCTAAAATGACAACAGTCAAATAATTGTAAGGAACAAACTCTTTTATGTATAAGTATAATCTATGCAGCAACAATCGATCTTGGCTCTTATAAGGGCATGGATTGTTTGAATAATAATTGCTGATTTAGTTTTGTGTACACACAGCTGCACGTCACATTACCACAATAAGTTAAATAACTTCAGTTGATTTTAAACTACCCACAAAATATTAAGGTCTTATATCTTATATCAAGTGGAGTTTAACAGATTTGTACAACCTGACGTACCGTTGACTGTACAGATAAAGCTTTTCTGTATTTTTACAAAGAGTTATTACATTTATGAAAACAAATCATTACATGTATTAAAAATATGTTAGTTAAAATGTCAGCTATGATAAGGCTATAAAGACCTTTTTCCGATGTTTTAAATACTTTATTATAATTCACCAGAACCGCCACGCCTTAAAAAGTACTTAATTAACTTTTATTCTGACAATAATGGAAATGTTGACATTTATAGGAATGGAAAAAGTTAATAAATTGAATTTACAGAAAAACACTAAACTCCAGGTTGAGTTTTCTACAAGATAAATAATTCCCAAATTAAATTTATTAGTTTTATTCGACTATTTTGATTGCTTACTACAATAAGAAGTAAATACTATAATTAATTAAACGCTGATAAGGTTACTTTAAACACTCCGATATATAATAAATAACTTATAATCATAGTATTTATCGAAACTTGTAACCTCGTTTCCGTTTCCTATTGAGTTGCTTTGTATTTACAAACAGACTTGTAGTCTGCTTTTTGGTGCAAGTATGAAAATAGTATATACGTCTTAGTATAGTCAACAGCACTGCGGGTGATACAAAATTTTCATCTGAATTTATACCTTATTGTTTTGTCGGTAGAGTTTAAAATAAACTGTGTGAATTTGACATATTTTGACATACAAAAGCAAATGACTGTCATAACGAGGGTCCTAACTTAGATCTTAAGCAATCCGGTTGACAGATATTACCAGCTTCTCTGAAAACTTTTCTTCGATAATTAATAATTATAATATCAATGAAGCATCATTAAAATTCATAATGTTAATAATGCTCGTAGTATACCTACCTACTTATAAATTTTTTTATAATGCAAAATCATTAACTTTTTCATTATTTGCACAAGTTGGGATTTTAAATAACTGTGAATTAAAATTCTGGGTAGTATTAATCCGTTTTCTTAAACAAGGTAATATTCTCTTTAATTTTTTGCTTGATTGGGGAATGAAGATGAGGATGTAGCTAACACGGAAGCAGTTCTACTTCCACTCGTATTATGCACAAAAAATTGTAGGACCAGCTTGTAAAATAATTCGAATCTGTTTGTTTTCAATTTGATACAGTAAACTGTGTGGATCGGGTGATATAATCTCATTGCAATGTCAATGGCACTATATCCCAAATATCTTGGCCCGGGTGTGATTGATCCCGGTGAGGGTGCATCCCCCGCCCTTCCCGCGCGCTGCGTTTAGTTCGTCCCTCGCGGCAATCGCGCGCCAACCTCTGCCGCGAGAGGGCGTATTGCTTGCGTTCCTACATTTTACAAACACGTGCTTACTACAAAA